AAAATGTCGAAAAAATCATTGAGAGAAGATTAACGTCGTGCATCACAATTGGAAATTATCAATTTGGTTTTCTAGCGGGGAAATCAACAATTGATGCAATTCACATCCTTCGGCAACTGCAAGAGAAGTAGCTCGCAAAGCATCAACAACTATCACACATTTTTGAAGATCATAAAAAAGCATTTGATCGAGTTCCCCGTGAAGCTATCAGGTGGAGTCTACGTCTACTCATTCCAGAATATCTTGTTCGACTTGTGATAGAAATGTAAACGAATACTAAGATTCTCGTCAGCACAGCGGTTGGAAACGCAGCTGCATTTGACATCGGCGTTGGAGTTCACCAAGGCTCGATTCAAAGTCCACTGTTATTTATAACTGAGATGGAAGAAATCGCAAAGCCGATACGCACTGGTGACATTTGGAATCTAATATATGCTGATGATATCGTTTTAACAGCCATGTCTGAGCAAAATGCAACACAGATGTTTAAAGATTGGAACATCAGACTCGCCGATTATGGATTCAAAGTCATCATCAGCAAAACCAAAGCAATGAACACTGGTGAACCCATCCAATCCACAGCTACTAAACGATGGCCCTGTTCAGTTTGTAAAGCTAGTGTAAGTAACAATTCAATAAAGTGTCAGCAGTGTAACCAGTGGTGTCACAAACGTTGTTCAAAATTAATTGGTACTTATCACAGTTACATCGTTTCAATATCTAGGGGATGTTCTGGATTGTACTGGAACAGCTGAAGCTGCCGTTCGAGCACGCATACGTGCAGCCTGGAATAAATGGCATCTCCTTGCCTCTATATTGATGCGGCGTGACATCCCACTACCACTACGATCAAGACTTTATAAATCTGTGATACGTCCGGTGTTGTTATATGGTGCAGAAACGTGGACAATGACACAAAAGTGGAACAACAACTTCACCGAACCGACATGAAAATGCCGATGAATGCAACGAATTTGTCTGAAGGACCACATCAAATCTACTAAAATCCTGCGTCGTTCTGGTTTAGATGATATAAAAAGGACGAATGCCGGCAACACCGTCTGCGGTGGTTTGGTCATGTCAAACGAAGTGGAAACAGTGCTATAACTTCTCTTGCAGATGTTGAAGTACCTGGCACACATCCCAAAGGCCGTCCAGAGAAGTCCTGGTCGCAAACAATCGAGCAAGTCTCTAAAAACTATATATTTAAATGAAATGGATACAACTGATCGCCTAATTTGGCGCAAAAAATTGATGGCAAAGAAAACAACGTCCCACCTCGGGGAACTGGGTCTCTGGACGCTAAACGAAGATTGATCAATTGATTGAAATGATTGAATGACGTTAAAAAGGTGACAAAAAGCATAAAAAAATAAGAAAAAGGATCAAAAATAAACAATAGTAAAAAAAGGCGGAACAAAAAACATTGGATAAAAATGAAAAAAGGAGGTTATAATTTTTTTTTCATTTAATTTTGGTTGTAGTTCAATAACTAACTTGTTTAATACTAATTGCATAAATTACAATAAAAAAATTTTTTTAAATATAATAATACTTGGCTCTGCTTCCTTCAACATAATGAAATATTTTCATCAAATTACTATGCGCAATATGAAATAACAGTTCAGTTAATTGCTTTTGCCATTCCTGACAGTATCCAATTAGAGATAATTTCAAACTTGAAGCGTCAACCATAACAAACTGAATGCTTATAATAGATTCTTGCATTTGAACACTAGTTGAAAGTTCAGTGTATCTGAAAAACAAAGAGTTAGTTGGTTTAATTCAAAAGTTGTGCTGTGATAATTAAATCACTAAAAGACTTGTAAAAAAAATTATATCGTAAAACGTAAAAAATCATTGACGTAGTCAATACGGTTTTAAAAAACTTTTTTCTTTGACTTAAATTAAATTAAATTTTTAATCTTTTTTTTCTATTACATAGAATGATTGCAAAATCAATTATGTTAAAGATTTATAGTTACTTTCGAATGCTGTTGCTAAATTAACTACATTAAAACTTAATTATAATCTTTATCAAGGATAATAGTTGAAACCTCGCTTTACCTAGAACCAAAAATGAACAGAGTAAAAACCATTGTTAATCATTTTTGCAGTTATGGGTTAAATTATTCAAGAATGAAGGAGGACATAAGAAAAATCCGCTATTAGCACGGGCTGAGCTGACGTATTGGCAGGAAGTACAATTTATTTTAACAGGATGAACTTGATGTTATGAGATACGTGACGAACAAGTTTAACAAACATTTATATATTGTTTTTTTATGGTTAAGATGGCTGGTTAAGATGAGTTGATTGTAAATTTTACACTGTCATTCTGTAACTTATTTTATTAAATATTTTGAGATCAAATAAAATATTTTGTTCATTTATTCATAATTTTACTAAACAACATGACATACACAATATATATTCAATCATCGTTTAGCGACTAAAGACCCAGTTCCCCGAGGTAGGACTTGTTTTCTTTGCCATCAACTTTTGCGCCAAATTAGGCGATCAGTTGTATCCATTTCATTTAAATATATAGTTTTTAGAATCTTGCTCGATTGTTTGCAACCAGGACTTCTCTGGACGGCCTTTGGGACGTGTGCCAGGTACTTCAACATCTGCAAGAGAAGTTATGGCACTGTTTCCACTTCGTTTGACATGACCAAACCACCGCAGACGGTGTTGCCGCATTCGTCCTTAAGATCATCTAAACCAGAACGACGCAGGATTTCAGTAGATTTGATGTGGTCCTTCAGACTAATTCATTGAATCCATCGGAGCATTTTCATATTGGTTCGGTGAAGTTGTTGTTCCAGTTTGGTTGTCATTGGCCATGTTTCTGCAGTTTATAATAACACCGGACGTATCACAGATTTATAAAATCTGGATCGTAGTGGTAGTGGGATGTCACGCCGCATCAATATAGAGGCAAGGATATGCCATTTATTCCAGGCTGCACGTATGCGTGCTCGAACGGCAGCTTCAGCTGTTCCAGTACAATCCAGATATTGAAACGATGTGACTTTCTCTACCTTAATGGCTTCAAAAACATTGCTATTTCGAGTTTGTTGTTGTAGATTGATGCAAGCAGAACAAACAAAATTGGACACTTTAGATAAATTACCAATTATTTTTGAACAACGTTTGTGACACCACTGGTTACACTGCTGACACCTAATTGAATTTTTACTTACAACAGCTTTACAAACTGAACAGGGCCATCGTAAATTAGCTGTGGATTGAATACGTTCACCAGTGTTCATTGCTTTGGTTTTTCTGATGTTGACTTTGAATCCATGACCGGCCAGTCTGGTGTTCCAATCTTCAAACATATGTGCTGCATTCTGCTCAGACGTGGCTGTTAAAACAATATCAACAGCATATATTAGATTCCAAATGTCACCAGTGCGTATCGGCTTTGCGATTTCTTCCATCACAGTTATAAATAACAGTAGACTGAGAATCGAGCCTTGGTGAACTCCAACGCCGATGTCAAATGCATCTGTGTTTCCAACCCTTGTGCTGACGAGAGTTTTAGTATTCGTATACATTTCCATCACAAGTAGTATACATTTCCATCACAAGTCGAACAAGATATTGTGGAATGAGTTGTCGACGTAGACTTTACCTGATTGCTTCACGGGGAACTCGATCAAATGCTTTTTCAATGTCTATAAATATGTGTGATAGTTGTTGATACTTTGCAAGGATGTGAAGTGCATCAATTGTTGATTTCCCCGCTAGTAAACCAAATTGATAATTTCCGATTGTGATGCACGACGTTAATCTTCTCTCAATGATTTTCTCGACAATTTTCAGGGAGTGTTTTAACAGACGTATACCCCGATATGATGAACAGTTCAATGGATCACCTTTGCCTTTGTATAGCGGAAATGTGACGCTATAGTTTCATTCAGTCGGCATTGAGCAATTTCTCTAAACTTCACGGTAAAGTTGTAGTAACGCTTGGATACCTGCAGTACCAGATGCTTTGATAATGTCATTTGTGAGTACAGAGGACCCTGCTGCCTTTCCATTCTTCATAGCTTTCAGAGCTTCCGTAAGCTCTACAGTGTAACCTGTTCTGTAACCTCTACAGTGATATCTGGAATCGGACCTTCGATGGGTGGAGCGTCAAAGTTGACATTAATGGGATATGTTTTATTTAACAGACGGTTGAAATATTCTTTCCACTGTAGCTTGATCTCATCTTGTTCAAGGACCATCTCATTTTTGTCGTTTTTGATACATGAAGCACCTACTATGTCTTTTTTCGTACGCTTTGCTTGTATTGCTATACGATACAGAGATTTCATTTGTTCACCTTTGCTTTTGGTGAGCTACTCTATGAACTGATCTCTCCAAGCCAGTGCGACTTGACGTCTTGCATAGTTGTTCTTCTCACGGAAAATTTTGTGGTCATCAACAAACTTTGATTTTTGTCATTACTTGTATGCAGCTTTCTTTTACGCTATTGCATTCTGTTCACAATCATTCCACCACCACGTGTCTCGTTCATGCTGCCGTTTTGTACCAGTTTTCCCACAAACTGTAGTTACAGCGTTTATCAAAACGGTTTTGAATGTACTCCAATCTGTACTGGCTTGCGATTGGTGGTCTAACTATGTGGCGACAATCTGTTGAAATTTTTCTCGATGAATATTGCTTTTCAGCTTCCACGTTTTGATTCTACGAAGCATTTGTTTAGACTTATGTTTTGACAGTTCGACAACCAGGTCTGCCACAAGGAGTCTATGTTGGGCGACACAGGATTCGCCAGGTATAACTTTGACGTTTTTGAATAGCCTTCGGTGCTGTTGCTTGACAGCGAAGAAATCAATTTGCGTAGCTGATGGTCCACTTTTGTATGTTATGATATGTTCCAACCTCTTTTTAAAATATATGTTCAGTAAACAAAACCCGTGGCTTTCAGCAAACTCAAGGATGCGTTTGCCATTCTCAATCCGTTCTCCATAGTCAAAACCGCCATGCACGTCATCAAAACCATCTGTTTTCTCTTCAACGTGGCCATTGAGATCGCCTCCAATCAGGATTGTTTCAGATTTTGGTATGGTTGAGATTGTGTCAGAGAAAGCAGTCCAGAAGTCATTTATCATCTCTTCTGATTCGCCTGTCTGTGGTGCGTATGGAGAAAAAATAATCATTGTTTGCTTTTCTATGCGAAGCTTGATCCACATGAGACGTGAGTTACTCCTTTTAATATCCAGTACTTCTTGGGCTAGCGGTTATTTTTCTTTGTCTGAGTTGACATGACAGACAGCATTCGATTTCCATCGGGTCTCCTGAAGGCAGCAAATGTCAATCCTTCTACGCTCGACCATTTCTGCGATTTCCATGCTGCGGCCAGTCTGTCATCCAACATCGAGCGTTCCTGTCTAAGTACCATAGAGAGGGCCATTCTGAATTTTTCTGCAACATCCCTCCGCTATTGCATACATCCCAGGGATTCTTAGCACCCCTTGACCACTTAAGGCCTGCTGGGACCGTTGAATTTTGGAATAAATTTTGGGAAAACTTTTTACATCCGGGCACCAATCCTTACGACAACCACCAGTTAAAGGTTAAAGGTTACTCTCTATCTTTTACGTTTGCTTCAGAGGTTTCAGCTACAAACACACACAGCGTATATGAATACGCGTGCAAACCACGCATCATAAACATTGCATATGATAGGCGGAGATCTCTTTGTATTCAAACCCAGTCATTGGAATAGCAAGACCAGGCGCCTTTTACCATTAAGCCATCACGCCGTTATAAGCGGTGGGCCTAGCCTTTTGCTCAAAAGCACGCAAGGCAGCGTGGATGAAGTTTTATTTCATGCCCAGGACTAATACACAATATATAAGTTTATTATTATTAGTCTTAGAAGATCCAGTATGTGGTAGGACGACCGTAAAATTTTGACATACAATTTTTGCCGGTTTAAAGTTGTTGGTAGTGTCAGAAAATTTACATTCTTGAGTTTGTTGCATTTAATGGCAACTCTATTGCTGAAAAACTTCATCTAATCTTTTCTTATTCAAAATCGGAAATCGATTGGTAACATATTCCGTTCACATGTTCACAATGTTTCTCTATGTCATCCGGTTTATTTCTGCTACCTTCGCCTGGATTAGACTCAAGTTGCTTCAGCAGATCCTTTTTTATTTGTTTCATCGGGTCTTCATCTTGTATCTTTCAGTGGTTGGGTTGGTCTTTTTAAAAGTTTTGCCCGTTTAGAAGATAAATTATTTTTCCAATGAAATCGACAAAAAGTTCGTCGTTATGTGATGAAAGGAAATGAAATATGCATTAACGAAGGTCTCGTCCCAAACTATATATATATATATATATATATATATATATTTACAATATTCTATAAATTCTACCGAATGTTTGGCGTTAATATGTTTGTAGTTCGTTTTTTCAATTTTTCTCACTAAAGTTTTTTGGTGAACGTTTAGTTTAGAAAAATTCAAAATAAACTTATTTTCCGAATTCATGCTGCAAATAAGGCCATATTTCGATTCCGAATGAATCATCATTAGTGCGATTTAGTTTATATAGGAAAATATTCATTTTGTCAAAGTGTACTTAGATGGAACTGGCACATTCTTCTGTACGTTTTCTATAATTTTTTATTTATTTTTTGCTTTTGTTGCATTTTGCTGGAAAAAATAGGTATTTTTCGCTAACATGTTTACTATTTTTGTTATGTTAATGTTAATTTTTCTTCAATCTCTTACTGAAACTATTTTTGATACTACCTTATTTTCTGATGTTGATGATTTTGTCTATGCTTTTAATATCTACATTACTTCTATTCTTGATAAGCTTAATCCTCTTAAATCTTTTACTTATAGGCTCTATTCTCGTAAGGCTCTTTGGTTTGATTATGCTTGTGTAGTAGCCAAGAAAAGTGTTAGACGACTGGAGAAAGCCTATAGGTTAAATCCATCTAACTCTCTTTATTCTATCTATGAATCTGAATTGATTATTTATAAATATCTACTATTCTCTAAACTCTACTTTTCTTAAAAATTCTATAACATCTGCTTCAACATCTAAAAATAGGTGGTCTGTTCTATCTAAACTTCTACATAAAAAATCCTCTCACTCATCTTTTTCTGCTCAACAGTTTTATGACTTTTTTGTAAATAAAATTACTTCTTTAAGAACATCTAATTTTAATTTTTCTTCTCATAACTTTACTAAACTTACTACTGAATCTTTTTCTGTATTTACTCCAATAAATTTTTTAAAACTAACTAAAATTATTAATTCTATGTCGTCTACAACCTGTTCTCTAGATCTACTTCCTTCTTTTTACTTAAAGAATTTTCTTCAATATTTTATCCAATCATTCTCAAATAAGTTAATTTATCTCTTTCCACCTCCAAATTTTTTACTTCTTATAAGAATTCTATTGTTATTCCTATTCTTAAAAACTCATCCTTAGATCCTACCTTTTTATCTAATTATAGACTTAATACTAATATTACTTTCATCTCTAAAATAATAGAAAAAGTAGTTTTTAATCAACTGTCATCCTATTTAAACTTTAACTCCTTGCTACCTGTAATCTCAATCTGGTTTCAGACTTGCTCACAGTACTTAAATTTCTTTACTCAAAATACACAATGATATTCTTCTCTCTAGTGACAATAGTAATCTTACTCTTCTTCTTGCTCTTGTCTTTTCCTCGGCTTTTGATACTGTTGACCATACTATTCTTTTGAGACTGCTGCATCTTTCTTTTAATATTACTGATTCTTGTCTATCTTGGTTTTCTTCTTATCTCTCTAATCTTTTTCTTCTCAATAATTCCACTTCTAACTCCTCTACTCTTACTTTCGGGGTACCTCAGGGTTCTATTCTTGGCCCTCCTCTATTTATACTCTATACTTCTGAACTACCTCGTATTATTAATAACTTTTCGTTCTCTAGTCAACTATATGCTGATGATTCTTACATTTATACTTGTTTTCCTCCATCTAATCTCAATATTGTTCTTCATAATTTATCTCTATGTCTTTCTTCAATTATCACTTGGTCTGACTCTATGTGTCTTAAACTTAATCCTTCTAAGTTTGAATTAATTTGTTTTAATAAATCTAAACACTCCATTACTATTCCTCCTATTATCTTACCTGATTCTAAAACTCTTGATGTCTCTCATAAGTTTCGTAGTCTAGATTTTATCTTTGATTCTACTATGTCTCTCTCTTCTCAAATTAATAGTGTTGCTAGAAGCTCTTACTTTCATCTACGTAGAATAAAAAAACTTTTGCCTTTTCTTGATGATCCTACTCTTCTCCTTCTTTTTACTTTGTTAGTCTTATCTAGGATTGATTATTGTAACTCGCTCTACTATGGTCTTTCTGACTCTATACTCTATCCTTTAAGTAAAGCTTTTAACTCTGCTGCTCGTCTAGTTGCTCGTGTCCCTTTCTTTTCTCATAAATCTCCATATCTTGTTCTCTTGCACTGGCTACCTATAAAATATAGAATAATTTTTAAAATTTGCACGTTCATGTATAAGTCTCAATCTAAATTATTTCCTAAGTATTTATCAGATATATTAATTGAACCTAAACGCCCCGGTTTACGATCGTCTTCTTCTCGCTTTTTCTTAACTCGTGTTAAACACTCTTTTGCTAAATCTGCTTTTGCTTTTTCTGGTCCTTTTCTCTGGAACTCTCTACCTACTTCTCTGACTACTTCTCCATCACTTGCGAAGTTCAGAGCGGATCTCAAGACCCATCTGTTTTCAAAATTCATTGAGGAGCACTGTTGAACATCGCGGAAATAGCGCTTTATAAGCTAATTGATTGATTGAATAGCTGTTTTGACTTCTAGCTCTGTATCGACCAAAATCATCGTAGGTCTTCCAATATCTGAAACTTTTATGAGTTGTCTTGTCAGCGGATCATTAATCCGTCACTGTAATATTTTAAGTAGAAACAATAATTGATGGGCATTTTCATCTCTAATCAAATGACAACATAAAATTTTTATGCATTTAACTTTATACATTAATTAAAACAATGTTCACATTTCACTACAACATGCTTTAATACTTAATGACTAGAGTATAAATTATAATTGCTTTCAAGAAATAACAGCTTATTTGCTTTATTTTAATAAGAAAAAAGCTATACCTGTATATATCAGTATCAAACGATGATACAGGCGGATTGAGCGATTTGTACTTTTCTATAAATTCAGTTTTATTTACATTCCAAATTTCTTTACATGTGTCCCATGACGAAACATATTGAAGAAGACTGTTGACGCCATTTTGAATTCCGATTAATATGGCATTATGAATTTTAGTAATTTCCGGATCTTTTGAAACTGTGGTGCTCAAAGACTAAAAGTTATAAAATAGTTAACTAAATTAACTCTGAAAACATTAAATATATAGTTTACTTGAGATGTTTCAAGATTAAATTGTAAGAATGAAGCCAGTTAAAAATAAAAAAATTTAAAAGTAGACAAGAATTAATTTACAGAAAATTCATAATATTTACCATTATCTTATTATGTTCTTTACAAAAATATTGCAGTAAGCTCCAAACGGTAAAAGTACAAAAAAAACTTATTTCAAACGCAGTTTTTAAATGTTTAAAATTTAGACTTGATAAATGTAAAGCACGTTTTTTCAGGTTCATTTCTCCGCCGCCAATTTGAATAAGAAAGCTGAAATTTTATGTTTAAAGCTAGTGCAACGTTAGTGCCGAGGTATATGTGGATGAAATTATGCTTCAAAAATTTAAAAAAAAAATGCTGACGAAGAATTTAATTGATGCGGCAAAGGCATTATTTGAAACCGCATGCTGCGCACCGTTAGAAGATAAATGCATATGCATCGCTTTAATAATTGTAACGAAGATATCTATAAGAATTACCAAATTATTTGATTTATCTCTTTTTCAACTTGGCAATTGCGGAGCATCGCAAATCAATAACGACAATAACCTGTCTGTTATCTCAAAATTGACTCCAACATCTAAAATAGATTTGAAGGAATAAATTACTGAGCACAATTTACCAGCAAAATTAAAACTTTTATTTAATTTTATTTTTTCTATTAATAGACCAAAAACACATGTATGTGCGTTTTAGTAATTAAAAAAATGCCCCTCTCCTCATTGCAAAGCAAAGTACGACAACAAGGAGCTGAGTTTCTCATTCGCCAACGGGGAGCTTCCATTTTCTCGGTCTCCATCAACACCTCTTTAAGGAGGGGCAAGAAATAACAAAAATTTATACAGAACCAAACAGCATTAGAATAGTATTACCGGTCCTACAAATTTTGAACCTTAAGCGGCATTTTTTCAGCTCATCAACCAGGTACATATTAGGAAAGAGCATTGACGAAAATAAATACGTTACTAGCCAGCACAGACGTAGTACTAACAGAAGACAAAATTTCAGTATTTTTATTCAAATTTGGAAGGGTGAAACTGTTCACATTCAAGCGTGTAAAACTAATTTACCAGATTTTTATATAATAAGAATGACAAAAATATTTCATTTAATTCACGTATAAGCACGACGACTTGACGCCATTTAAGAACTAGACCGGCTATTGAAGCATGATAATTAAGCCTATTTTTTTGCCCGAAATTACGACTTTCGCTTATCGTGCTCCATTTTCGGCAAAATTGTGTCATTCATTTTCTTTTCGGTATATGACGGCATTAAAAGACGACTAAAATATAATTTAAAATATAGTTTAAAAACACATACAAACACTATTTACATCGTGCATTGAATGTTTTGAATGGAACTTTTGATGAAAATTCAAAAATACACTTAGAATTGGCTAAACATTTTGAAAATCATATTTGTTTGAAAAGTTGAACATTATGGAATAACACGTACAACAGATTTGTATGGTAAAATAAACTGCATTATACATTTTTTAGCAAATTTATATATGCATTGGTATATCTATTTGCACCTTAATCTTACAAAAATGTATGATGATATATTCAAAAAAATGTCAGATGTAAATGACTTCAGTAAGGAAATTTTTTATGATCCAAGGAAGAAGCAACTATTGATGAATGATAAAAATGATACTAAAACACATAAATTCTTTTAAAAAAATCCGGCAAAAAAGACTTTCTTCGTTTTTTCAAAAATTAATTTAGTAAGATGATTTAGTTTTAATTTAGTTTTTTACAAGTATCAATAGTTGCTTCCTCCTTGCATCATAAAAAAATTTCTTTACTGAGGTCATTTACATCTGACATTTTGTTTAAACTCTAAGTTTTGAACCCTTTCTTTATTACCTCATTACTTAGACTATTCCTCAACGATACTCCCATTATTCTTCTCAATATTTGCATTTCTGTTCTCTCCAGCCTTTTTAAGTTTTCAGCCGTCATAGTCCAAGTTTTGCACAACAGGCAACTTCTTATACAGGCTTTAAATTACCTTACCTCACTCTCCGCAATATGAACCAGGTCATAAGCTTATAAAATCTCTCATGGCAACCCACTTTTGATCTCTCTACTAATCATTTCCATTACTATAATAAAAAGTAGAGAGTTTGTCGCCGAGCCCTAATACAAACATACCTGAACATCAAACCACTTACTTACATTATTGCTAATCCTTACCACTGTTCTGGCTCTTTTATACATGCACATCACTGTGTCTGCCAACCATTTTTCTACAATGCTTTTCCTAAGTGTTCACTAAACATTTCTCTCGGAATCTTTTCCAGAGGTACAAAAGCATAATAAAGAGTTTTTTTTAGCTCTGATCTTTTCTAGAATTTGTCTAACAATAAAAATTGCACCAATAGTACTCTTCCCTGGGCAAAAACCAAATTGCATTTTGTCATGCTAACCTGATCCCAAATTTTTCGCTCCAAAATTTTTTCCACCATCTTCATAGTATGTTCAAATAGCTTCATTGCTCTATAAAATCAACAGTTTAAGGTGTCCCTCTTATTGGAAGGATTATCTTCTGGGACTTTTTTCCCTAATTATTAATACAATATTGAAAAAATCCATTAGCCTCTCAATTCCCAAATCACCTGTTTCCTTTAACATTTCCAATACCGCTTTAGAGTTACCGCCAGCCTTTCCAGACTTCATTTTTCTTAGCGCCTACTCAACTTCTTCCTACTTTATATACTCTGCTACATTTATATTTGCCTCGATAACCCCATCCCAATCATTTTCTTCATTTAACAGTTTTTCCGTTTCCGTTTTATAGCTTTTTTCTGAAACAATGATGCCTTTGCTATCTTTCATGCAATTTACTCTAACAGCATCCTGCTATTTCCTATTTTCTGACTTAGCCATACGATAAACGACGTTCTTACCGTCCTTTGTCCTCAGTTTTTCTGATAAGTTCTTGCAATACTTTCGTTTTGCTATAGCTACTTCCACCTTTGCCTTCTGTTTTAATGTTCGATAGGCCCTATGATCTTCTTCGTTTTTTGGTATTTTCCATTCCCTATATCTTCTTTTTTATCCCTTATTGCCCTTTCAAACGTTTCATTCCACCACCCTGTCTCCTTATGTCGAGGTGGCCTCTTCCTTACCTGACATATTGTCTCAACTGCATTCAGCATATTATTTTTCTTTTGAACTCATGATTTTTCTACACTCAAATTCTTATCAACAATGCTACCCAGTTCGAACGTTTAAAATTTGGCAATCTGCAGCAACAGAAAATAATCAGTCATAATGACAAAGATTAAAAATCAGTGCTGACAAAATATTTATATTTAAAATATACACTAACCTCTTTCTTTGTTTTTCTTGCTAATATATTTGGTAAACGCTCAAATTTTTTCAGTGAATCGATGCATATGTTAATACTTTCTTTTATCATGTTAGATAACTGCAACAGAGTAGGAGAAAACTCAACCTAGATATTGAAAATAATATTTGAACAGTCAGAGTTTTATAAAATAGCTAAAAATTAACGTTATAGAATTGTATGTTATTATTGAGTTTGTCAAGCTTCTCTTATAGGTTGATTTCGAAAGCGCTTTCTTTATTAGGTAGTTGAAAAGATGGTTTTTTAGAATAGACCTGTCGTTTTATAATGTTATAACCTGAAAGATCATTGAAGTCGATCAAAAGCCGCAAAGACTAGCTTTCGGCGAATAGTAAAAATAGTCATAGCTGACTGTAAATGAACATAAAACAAACAAAAGCAAACATGATACAACGATAATGAACAATTTTGATCCCTAACCACATTAGAATTGAAGGTAACGAAAGAGTAGATCAATTAGCATCACAAGCTTACTTAGATCCTTCATTATTCATTTCAATACCATATGAGTGAAGACAAGTGACATCAGATACGAAAAATGGCAAAATGAATGGAACACGATAACTTAACTTGAAGTAGTTATGCCCAAATTAAATAAATCCAAAAATGTCAAAATCAATGAGCTGAGTAGAAATAACCTAAACAATATAAATAGATTAAAATTTTATCATTCCAAAATGACCCATTCATGGATATTAAACAGAACTAGATCTCCACTTTGTGGGAAACAATCATGCAAAACTAACAATCCAACACATATTAATAAAATGTCAAACATATAATGAAAGCAGGACAAAATATCAAATTCCAGAAGATATACACTCAATTTTAAAATATAAACATAGTAAGTCTAATATCATACATTAAGGAAATAAACATGTTCAACATGTTTAATTGCTCCGCAGTTCAAAAGATTCACAACAAAGGCCTAAGGCATAAAGGTAGCCTATCAGTGCTAAAACGCTGTAAAACTGCAAAAGAAAAAGAAGAATATAAACAAGCAATTTTTTCATTACGATCCGGAAATCTAAAATGATAAACAGTCGGAAAAAATCAGTCGTTATGAAAAGATTGGATTTAGCATTAAAATCTTTTGAATTGTGTTGCGTGGGTTAGCCTATTCTCAGAGACATTACACTCATAAGTTTTTAAGATGGAAAGTGATTCTTCGATGGTCAACATTTAAAAGTTAAACAGGCGCATTGCTCTTCACTACAAACACATAATGCACATTATCAAGGCTATTACGTTGAATGAAGTGAAAGATGTGATGTAATCAGATACATCTTTCACTTCATTCAACATTGTATTAAAATAATTTTACAATTTTATAAATCCCAGGATAACTTTATAAAACCAAGGACAAACATAGCTAGAAAAGGCTGTTAATAGTAGTATTCACTCCTTAGCAATTCCGTAGTAGGTTATGTAGGCTTTCCTGATCAAATATGTTTTTAATCTTTATTTGAACAGATCCATCGATGCAGCTTCAACTAACTCGACTGGCAACGAGTAACAGACTTCTTCCTTCCATCGCTGTTTGTACCTGGAATTATCATCTTTCTATTCGTCACTGATATACGAGAATTTTATAAACCACAGCAAATTAACCAGGTAATTAAACTACCTATCGATGCAGTTTCAACTAACGCGACTGGCAACGAGTAACGGACTTTTTCCTCCAATCGCTGTTTGCACTTGGAATTATCATCTTTTTATTCGCCACTGATCTAAGGCGAGATCTTTACAAACCCCAGCAAATTAACTAGGTAATCAAACTAAAAAAATTAACTAAATTAACAACTCTATTGACATCCGCTGTTCCAGACCACAATGGTGAGATGTGATGTGTTCCCATCCACCAGCAGCCATCATCAACCTTACAGCAACAGTCTGAATCAACTGCAATCTATACGTAACCCGAGTATTAAATTCAGTTATCTTAGTAAAATTCAATCTCTAAAACCCGGCTTAAAGGTTAAAAATGTTAAAGGTTACTCTCTCTCTTTGCGCATGCTTAGAGGTTTCAACGACCAACACGCACAGCTTATATGAATACGGGTGAAAACAACGCATCATACAAATTGCTTATGATAAGCGGGGATCTCTTTGTATTCGAACCCAGTCACTGCAGCAGCAAAATCAGACGCTTTTAACCATTGAACTATCACGCCGCGATGAAAATAGAAATAGAATAAAAATTAAAAAGAAATGAAACTAAAAAACAGTAAACCTAAAATTACAATCACAAATAAAATCGCGAACGTAGACGTCAATTTTAAATTTAAAATAAAATAAGAATAATTTTTATGTCTGACTACATCTTCAGAAGTTTGCTGCGTGGATTTTAAATGATAACACAAATAACAGCGTTAATGATGCCAGAATACAATGAAAAAATTACATCAATGGTTTAACTTACAAATTCATTTCCATAATCTTTTTTAAGTATTAGATTTATTTTAAACATGGGTGTCTGACCAGCCTTCCCATCTCCAATGATCGCTTTCATAATTTCTTGCAAAGAGAATTTGATATTCCATTTTAAAGCTTCTTCAACCAAAGCATCCATTTTCATAGTATAACCAAACCAAAATTGTTGAACCTTGATAAATTAACGGAAAAAATTAATATATTCAAATCTACAACTTTTAGTTATCAAGGAACAGCTTTTTAATTTAGGCGTTTTAATAAAAATGAATTTGACTTTTGAGTTTTTCTGATACGATTAAAGCTGAATTTTTTGATAAATCATTTAATTTCTTCACAGACTTCTATGTACGTACACATAAAATTGTATTACATGAATGAAACGAGTATTAAATACAAAAACCAATCACTCAATTAGCATGTAAAGCGTTATTTCCGCGATGTTCAACAACGATCCTCGATGAATTTTGCAAACAAATAGGTCTTGAGATACGCTCTGAACTTTGTAAGTGATGGAGAAGTAGTCAGAGAAGTAGGTAGAGAGTTCCAGAGAAAGGGCCAGAAAAGCAAAAGCAGATTTAGCAAAAGAGTATTTTACACGAGTTAAGAAGCGAGAACAAGAAGACGATCGTAAACCGGGGCGTTTAGGTTCAATTAATATATCTGATAAGTACTTTGGAAATAATTTAGATTGAGATTTATGCATAAATGTGCAAACCACAGTATTTAGAATGTTTTTCAAATTTATATGGAAAAACTAAATCCAGCTACAACATACATAGACATCTAAGGCAAAATGATTTGAAACAAAAATGTGAGAATTGTAAATATAACTACCTAAAAGCTAAACAAATAAATAAAATTTTAAGAGTTCACTAATTTTTGCAATAATATGGTCGAAGGATTTTTGTACAAACGTATATTACTTTTGGGCTTTTGGGAATTTGTCCAGGGTGCATTTTTCTCGGGAGTTTTTTCGAAGGGTTTTTGTTCGAGGGCAATTGTTCTGAGAAATTTTCGCTTTATGGTTTTTGTGCTGAAGGGTATTTGGCTCGGGGGGTTCATGTCGGAGGCGTTTTTTGTTTGAGATATTTTGTTCGGGAGGTACATTTGTTCTGGAGAGATTTTTGTTTGGAAGGTAAATGTCCGGGAAGTTTATTGTTCTTAGAATTTTTGTCTGGAGATTTTTTTGTCCAGAGGATATTTGTCTTGGGAGGATTTTTTGTTCAGGGAATATTGATCCTGGAGGGGATTTTGGCCAAAGATTATTTGTCCTGGGGGTTTTAGTCCATAGGGTTTTTGTTCAAAACAATTTTGAGCGAGGGTTTTCGTCCGGGTGGGGGGGGGGGTTTGTCATAGAACCATTAAAAACTCATAATTTAAATATTGTCAAAAGATTGAGTGCGCTAAAACGAGTATCTGATATCGACAAACATCAGTCTCCTCAAACAACATAAAAATAAGTTAAATGTGAGTAGATGAACGCATGTTATAGTTCTGTCACTGAAAAATTATTGAGTAAACTTCCTAACTTATAAAATACGCCAAAAATTTTGATATTTTAAAAACAACTGAATCAACGTGAATTGCCCGGAATAACTTTCCGAAAATGATTATTCGAAGATACTTTGCACTCTGGGCATTATTTGTTTATTTATTTGTTTGTTTATTTATTAATTACAATTCTTTTTTCAATATTTTTAGAAGCATCAATAACAAACACGCGGCACATTTAAATATTCGTGAAACAACGCATCAAAATCACTCACATATAGCTGTTAAGTTTTATGTTTTATATTAAAACATTATGATTTATAATATACATTTATTTTCCTTTGGACCAAATATTCTTTGCTTTGTATGTAACTTCACTTTTTCTTTTTCTGTTGATCCGGTGGATAATAAACAAGTCGAGAACGTTGCTTAGTTTAATTCTCTTTTTTTAATGTCTTTCAATATTATATCAATTAATTAAACGATCTACGTGACAAGAAATTTAACAGGTTATGGGACCCAGATAACGTTTTTCTTAATTAATTGATTTGACGAAGAAAATTTAGAATAAAGAAAGTTGAACTGGAAGTCGAGAGTTTGTATAATACTACGCGGCATTCCTGATGCAATGGACGTAGTAAATGGCAAATTGAAAGTTCCAGATGAATTAAACGATGACTCAAATAAAGATGAAATACCAAAATATCAAACTGCTTTGAACAGATTCAATAAAGCAGATTGTAGTGCTATGATTATTCTGTCAACCAACATGATCGATGAAACGTATGAGAAAGTTCGTTCATTCAGTAATGCCAGAGATGTTTGGTTAGAACTTTACATATTATATGATGAAGTTAATGAAGATAAAGCATACAACTTATGCATGAAGTTCTTTAGTTATAAAATGGATGAAAGCGATGATGTTGTCACTCATGTTACAAAACTCAAGAATCTTTGGAAAGATTTGAAGGTTGAGTTAAGAAAAGATGAAAACAGTGACTTGTTGCTGATGTGTCAGATAATTGAAACCCTGCCAGAAAAATATTTTTCATTTGCTGCAAGTTGGAGATTGTTGAACAAGACTGAAAGAACAGTCGAAACACTCACAGATCAACTGTGTAGCTATGAGAGATCTTTGGAAGGCAAAACAGAATGTAATAAAGTATTATTTGTCAAAGCAACAACTAAAAGGTCATCATCACTAAACATAAATGGTCAAAAACAAGATAAATTTGTCAGCAAACCAAAGCGACTGATATGTCATTATTGCAAATTGCCAGGTCACATTGTAAGAAATTGTGAAAAATGGCATTCTGATGGTAGACCAGCAAAACCAAGAAATAACAATCTACGCGATGACAATAAGTCACTAGTTGTTAAGGAATCAAGTGTTTTTGCAATTGATGAGTCAGCGTACACTGATGAATAGTTTTTTGACAATGGTGCAACGTGTCATCTAACTTTCCAAAGAGACATATTTCAAAGTTTTGAAAAATTTTCTCAACCGAGTAAATTATATGTTGCAAACGGTGATACTGTAGAAGCTTTTGGAAAAGGAATTATTCATCTTCAAGTGAAAGTGAATATTAAATGGCAAACTGTTAAACTTACAGATGTCTTGTATGTGCCAAAAGTAAAAAGAAATTTGTTCTCAGTACTTGCAACTCAAGATAAGAACAGAAATAGCTCTTTTGTTTTAACCTCAAGAAGTTGTCATCTACTTATTGACAATGTGATAAATGTTGTAGGAATAAGAAACAACAATGGAGGTTTGTTCAAACTTGTTGCAAAAACTGTTAGACCGTTGAATTCTGAAGTCACTTTGTCAACTTTGTCAATGATCAAGATGCATTGCAGTTATACCATGAACGAATGGGACGTCAGAATAAGAAACGTGTTAAAATGCATCGATCAAGAGATGTAATTTTTGATGAGAAGGTTGTCAAACCAAATTCAGTGATTTTGCAAAAAGAAAGTTGTTCAGATGATACAGTTTCGATTGATGTTGAAATCAAAGATGAAAATAAAGAAACTTTGATTAAAGAAATTATTTCAACTGATGAAGATGTTCACAACCGTAGTTCAGTTTTATCTGATGAAAAAGATCAATCTGACTGTGGTAATCAAACAACTAAAGGTATGGTTTTACGTGACAGGAATAATATCACAAAGCCATCTCGTCATGATTCTTTCGTTACGTCTGCATTATGTGAAGTATTTGAACCAGTGAGCTACAAAGATGCCATTCAAAGTGATGAAAAAGATGAATGGTTTAAAGCCATGAACAGTGAAAAGCAGTCATTAAAGGAAAATCAAACGTGGGATTTGGTAAGTCTTCCAAAAGGTCATAAGACAATACCATGCAAATGGGTCTACAAGGTAAAACACAATCCAGATGGTTCTGTTGAACGTTTTAAAGCCAGGCTAGTGGTAAAAGGTTTTTCTAAGAAAAAGGAAATTGACTATGAAGAAACCTATAGTCCATTGGTCAGAAGTTCAACTATAAGGACACTATTAAGTGTTGCTGCAAATGAAAAGATGTCACTCATGCAGTTTGATGTGTCAACAGCATTTCTATACAGCAAACTAGATGAAGATATTTACATGGAGCAACCTGAAGGTTTTAAAGATAATTCAGGAAGAGTCTGTAAACTCAAGCGAAGTCTCTATGGACTTAAACAAGCTCCAAGATGTTGGAACAAACGCTTTGCTGAATTCTTGAAAAAGAAACATTTCAAACAAAGCGATGCAGATACTTGTTTGTTCATTAAAATACAGGGAGAAAAGAAACTCATACTTGCACTGTATGTTGGTGATGGACTAGTTGCAGGAACCAATAAAGAAGAACTAAAAATATTTTTAAAAGAATATTTATAATTTATATATTTATAATTAAAGTCAGAGTTCAAGATAACATCTAAACCTGCAACATATTTTCTTGGATTAGAGATTAATCAAGATGAGAAGGGAAATATTAATGTCAGTCAGTCATCCTATACAAGAATGATTATTCTTGAAAAGTTTGGGATGAGTCAGTGTAAACCCTGTACAACTCCGATTATAAAGTCTGAGGAGTTCAATGAAAACAAAAATGAACATGAGGAAGTGAAATTTTCTTACAGATCAGCAGTTAGTGCATTGATGTACTTGATGACGGGAACAAGACCAGATATTGCATATGCAGTTGGAGTAGCATCCAGAAGTTTAGAAAAACCCAGCAAGTCCAATGTAGCACAAGTCAAGCAAATTTTCAGATATTTGCAAGGCACAGCTGATGTCGGTATTGTTTACAAGTCTGGTCAAAACAATACACTTATAGCCTACAGTGATGCAGATCATGGAAGATATAAATCTAGTGGAAGATCGACATCAGGTGTGATCTGTATGTTTGGAGGGAGCGTGATTAGTTGGTTTAGCCAACGTCAACCCTCAGTTGCGATTTCAACTACTGAAGCAGAAATCGTTGCCGCAAGTGAAGCCATAAATTTTTGTCGACAATGAAGCAGCAATTCGTTTAGCACACAATCCAGAACTTCACAGAAGAACAAAGCATATCCACATTAGACATTTCTTTGTCAGAGAAAAAGTTGCAGAAGAAGAAGTTTCAGTTGAACGAGTTGTGACAGAACTTCAAGTTGCTGATGCTCTGACAAAACCAATGGTAGGACCAAGACTAAAGAATCCGATGTGTGCGATGGGTCTTCAGAACATTTAGGTTAAGGTCATCTAATGTTTTAAATAAAATGAGAAGGTGTTAAGTTTTATGTTTTATATTAAAACATTATGATTTATAATATACATTTATTTTTCTTTGGACCAAATGTTCTTTGCTTTGTATGTAACTTCACTTTTCCTTTTTTGTTGATCCGGTGGATAATAAACAAGTCGAGAACGTTGCTTAGTTTATTTCTTTTCTTTTAATGTCTTTCAATATTATATCAATTAATTAAACGATCTACGTGACAAGAAATTTAACAATAGCATATATAATAATAAGTTGAGATCTCTTTTCAATCGAACACCTGATATTCACTGTAATTGTCACGGGTTTGTTGTATATGAACCAAATGCTAATTGATTTAACTCATGATTAAACCATGTCATTTTTGAATGTTTTGAATGAGTAGAGAAGATCAAAATCTACGTCATTTAAAATTATCTATTATATAAATTTAATTTAAAAAATTTTTTAACTGAAATTATTCAAACCTGTCTACTATACTAGACTTTGATTTTAATATTTCAGTTTATTAAATTATGTTTCAGCACTTTTTAATTATTTTAATTAAAAGAAATCGCAAAAACAATTACGACAAGCATATAAAAATAAACTACAGTATTGATAAACACCATTTATATTAATTACAATATACAATATATTACGTAATAAACATTTTATGGGAAATAGTTTTTCAACTACTTCAAGTGATGTTACTTGCTTCGAACTGCGCTGGGGTGTTTTAAAAAGAGTATAATAGGTTTTTAAGACATATTAGAATTAACAATTTGGAATGCTAAAATAAATTATTCATTAAGACTTACTATAAACTTATTCAAAAATGCACTTAATCAGTCAGTACGACAGGTTCCTGAAATTTGATATGTACAGGGTGGAAAAGATTAAATCAGCATCTGTGAGATCTAAAACAAACGTGTGCTCTTTGAATCCGATTCCCGCAAAACTTATTATACAGTTTATGGATTGTCTGTCGCCGTTTTTCTGTCTTAGGATAAATTCACCGTGCAAAACAAAAATTTCCCAGAGTTCAGTTATTATCACACCACCGCGTAAGAAAAATGGTTTGGATAAAAATGAAAACATTTATATACATATATCCAATCTACAATTGCTTCAAACGTCTAGTGCTGACTCCTCTGTTGAATCATATATCCTCCCATGGACTCTTGCCACCAATTCAGTTAGCCTACAGGCCAGATTCGTCTATGAAAACAGCTCTCGCAAAGGTATTTTGACCTCCAAAAAAACAAATCAAATCAAAAGTAGCAAATGTCTGGAAGGAGCCCTCAAGCAAATAGTCGAGCACAACTACCTCAACAAAAAAAGATCATAATAAACAATTTAGCTAAATTTATCATAAGTTTATATATCCTTAAAAAAACTAAATTTCCCTAGTTACAAAAATGAAACACACATGTCGTACAATTTTACATTTATCCATACAATTGTACACACAGAAACTAATCTATTAATAAATTATTTTATTTATCTTTTTTTTAAGCCATTACTTAATTTTTTTCCATACTTCTTATGCTTAAACATTTTTTTCCGTTATTTATTTTCGTTATTATTTTATACTATTGCCTTGCATGTTGTAACAGTTTCTGCTTTTATCAGATTCTGATTTTTTTAAAGAATAATGAATAAAGCATATGTCCAAAAAGGAATTTGAATATAAACACCCTAGTATATTCATTCATTACAATTTAAACAAATATGACCGAAAATTATATACATTAGAAAACCACACATCCATTTCATCGTAGGTGCCATATAACCAAATCGTTTTTAAATGAGGTGAGATTCGCATATCACTTACTCATATATCCATAGTACATTTTTGGCATAATTACATATACAAAAAAAACTATTTATAGCATTAGAATATATGTCCAAAAAAGAAATTTGAATATAAACACATTTTTCTTCATACACTATCATATATAAGTTCATTGCATTTAAACAAGTGTGTCCAAAAATTACAGTCAACTTTAGAAAAAAAATAAACACACATCCATATCGTCATAAGTTCATGTCAAAAAAATTATATACAACATTAAAAAAATAATCAAAAATCCATATCATCAAAAGTCCATCATTGAATATTGTTTATATACTTTCGCACACACACACTAAAAAAATTGATGAAATTAACAAAAAAAATCGTAACTAAATGACATAAATGAGATTCAGAAAATTTTTAGTCTATATAATGATACATTGACTAAAAAAATCAGGAAGTGAAAATGACCAAAAAATGATAACGAGAACCGTTCATAACATAAAAAACGTATGACCTAACATTTTACGTCTATATTCCATTCATACATAACTTCATGAATTAAGCAAATGATACAATAAAGACAACATATAAAACCAAAATATTAATATAAACAATATTTTCATATTGATTTTTGTTAAAATTCGGTGGCGTTTGTTTGTGCTAGCTATCAAACAACCGTTAATTCTTCAAATGTAAAAAAAACTTTAAACTGGAAATACTTTAATAAGACAGCTTAAACCGAATATAAATTAAAACATACTTGAAAATAATTAAATTGTTAAATTTATTTAAAAAAGTGAAAAAGTCAAATACAAACCTCATTTCCATCATTCTTGAAATATTCATAAGTAGTAAGCATAATTTTGACTATTTCCTGGTGCTTCGCTAACATTTTTGATAGAACTAGCTTGCAATGCTGAGTCTGATTTGAAATTACAAGTAAATATTTGAATCGAATCAAATAACTAGCGCAACGAGAGAGGTGCAAAAGTACAATGGTTCACAAATTTTTACACAGATTTTAGTTTTAATAAAATCTTTTTTACCGTGAAAGTATAAATAATCCTAGACTATATCGATAAATTTCTAATAAATTTTAGAGTAACCCGTTATATTATATAAATATATATCAATGTATTTATTTGCATTTATAATTTGTACACTCATATATTAATATATAATGTATGCATGCATACGTGTGTGTGTATATATTTATCAAACCAATTTCAAGCCAATTTTTATTGTTATGTTATGGCACTGTTTCCACTTCGTTTGACATGACTAAACCACCGCTGACGGTGTTGCCGGCGTTCGTCCTTTATATCATCTAAACCAGCACGACGCAGGATTTCGGTAGATTTGATGTGGTCTTTCAGACTAATTCGTTGCATTCATCGGAGTATTTTCATGTCGATTCGTTGAAGTTGTTGTTCCAGTTTGGTTGTCAATGGCCATGTTTCTGCACCATATAACAAGACCGGACGTATCACAGATTTATAAAGTCTTGATCGTAGTGGTAGTGGGATGTCACGCCGCATCAATATAGAGGCAAGGAGATGCCATTCATTTCAGGCTGCACGTATGCGTGCTTGAACGGCAGTTTCAGCTGTTCCAGTACAATCTAGAACATCCCCTAAATATTGAAACGATGTGACTTTCTCAACCTTAATGGCTTCAAAAACATTGCTATTATGAATTTGTTGCTGTGGATTGATGCAAGCAGGACAAACAAAATTGAACACTTTAAATAAAGTACCAATTATTTTTGAACAACGTTTACGACACTACTGGTTACACTGCTGACACTTGATTGAATTGTTACCTACACTAGCTTTACAAACTGAACAGGGCCATCGTCCAGTAGCTGCGGATTGGATGGTTTCACCAGTGTTCATTGTTTTGGTTTTTCTGATGTTGACTTTGAATCCATGATCGGCGAGTCTGGTGTTCCAATCTTCAAACATCTGTGCTGCATTCTGCTCAGACGTGGCTGTTAAAACGATATCATCAGCATATATTAGATTCCAAATGTCACCAGTGCGTATCGGTTTTGTGATTTCTTTCATCACAGTTATAAATAACAGTGGACTGAAAATAGAGCCTTGGTGAACTCCAACGCCGATGTCAAATGCATTTGTGTTTCTAACCGTTACACAGCTACTGGACGATGGTGAAACTTGGGTGTTGAGGAGAGAGGAGGAAAGTGTACTGCAGAGGGCTGAAAGAGCTATGGTGAGGATGATGTGTGGGGTTAAAGTGAAGGATAGGAGGAGTAGTACAGAGCTGATGTCGATGATGGGACTGAATGAGGACATCGTGACATTGATAAGGACATCTGTTGATATGGACATCTGTTGACAAGGGATGATAAGGTCGGGATTAGGCGAGCGTTGGAGTTCGAGGTTGAAGGAGTGATAGGAAGGGGTCGTTCCGCGATTGGGATGGAGAGAGCAGGTGGAGAAGGACAGAGTGAAAGCGGGGTTGCGTGATACTGAGGCGAGTGACAGATGTAAATGGCGTCGAGGGGTATTTCGGTGTCATCATAGGTAGCCAAACGGCAACCCCTGATCTCGGGAAAAATGTCGTCTAAACCTGTGTTGTTGTTGTTGTTGTTGTTGTGATTTCCCCGCTAGAAAACCAAATTGATAATTTCTGATTGTGATGCAGCGTTTATCAAAACGGTTTTGTATGTACTCCAATCTGTACTGGCTTGCGGTCGGTGGTCTAACTGTGTTGAGACAATCTGTTGAAATTTTTCTCGATGAATATTGCTTTTCAGCTTCTACGTTTTGATTCTACCTATTAAGCCATATCAAAAATGATCAATAATAATAATAATAATAATAACAATAATAATAATAATAAGAACATTCTTTTATTGACCGAAAAGGTAAAATCCAAATGAAATCAATCGATAAATATTAATTATATATCAGATTGTAAATAAATAAGGTAAAATATAATGTACGATCTTCCATGCTCTTTGATCAACAAGTGCTTGAGAGTAAAAAAAATATATTTAAAATCGGTTAAGTAGTGTTTCTGTCACAATATATGCTATATGACGAGCGAATTATCGCGTTAATCAGTTTTTCATCAAAAGATTTCGGCCATAATATTTTAAACAAAGTTAGATTAAAATTGTTATAAAAACCCACAGGTGATATTTCAAAGGAATTAATAATTAACGAACCGTTATTATAGACTGAATTTAAGTTTAATTTCAAGTTTTTATATTTCTGGCGTTTGTATTCACGATGATGAAGCTAGGTTGGTTTCGTGGCAAATTGTAAGCTCTAAAATTTCGATTTTGTTTTTTTTTGGAGAATGGCAATGTTCGGTCGCAACTTGTAGAACAACTATGACATTGGACGTACATTTTTTGCATTAAGATCGGCAAATATGCAACAGTCTGAGAGTGCATAAATCTTTAATCAGTTGACATCAACGACAGTAGTTTGTTATATCTGTCCGTGTACCTTGCGAGAGCCGTTGTAGAATCACAGTTCGAAACAACATGTTTATTTGTTTGGCGTTAACTGCATAGTTGACATAGAAATGTTGTTAACTCACCCCATTTAAATAAGTTTGCATTAGTGGGAAGCTGTTACTTCCTAATAAACTTATAGAGCACCCCCGGTAATCCTTCGACAATCTTAGACCAACGCGACGTTTGTGATGGGGAAATGTGCTCATTTATTGCTTTTATTAACAAACCTAGGCATTAGAGATTAAACACATGGTCAAGGCTGGATGAAATTCTTATCTTTTTCAGCAATTTGAGTGACTATTTCACCGAACCTAACTCCGTCAGCATCCTATCAACTTTTTTTAAAATTAGTTGATGTTTCGCTCCACAAACAAACAGTTTCATCGATGCTGCTTGATTTTAAATAATTTATGATTTTGACTTTAGTCTTTTCCAACGTGTTCTTCAATGAGATGATATTGTGACCACAATACCTGTTCGATAGGAAGAGCACTGCGCACACACAGCCACTGATTGGCTGGTCAGCCAATTGTCTAACGTTTCCCACGTTTAAGTCGTCAAGGTTTGTCAAGACCCATGTTGATGAAAAGTTATAATTTCGAAATTCAAATTGCAACTCTGTTGGAATGAATTGCCTAAGAAATTGTAGATTTTGCTGAGGAGTGACGTTGAAATGGTCTCCAGGAGTTTAGTTAATTTTATTTTAATTGACTCTCTAGCATTTTTGTCGTTGCACTCATAATCATGTAATTTGCCCAAATATGAACCCAATCTCGACATTTGGAATGGCCGTATTTTGAACAGTTAGCTTTGGTAGAAACTGTAGATAGTCTTCGTTTTTCTTTCTCATACCATAGGAGTGACATTTGTCAATTCTCTTCTGCATGTTCGATCACGTGCACCACTACGCATAGTTTAGGTCTATCAAATTTGTGAACTTTTAGAACTATAATAATAATAGTAATGAGAACGATCTTTTATTCAGCAATAAAAAAATGAAAATTAATCTAATCTTCGTTTTTCGTCCAGAGACCCGGTTTCCCGAGGTAGGACGTTGCATCAACTTTTTGCGCCAAATTAGACGATCAGTTGTTTTCATTTCATTGCTCGATTGTTTGCGACCAGGACTTTTTCGGACGGCCTTTGGGACGTGTGCCAGGTACTTCAACATCTGCAAGAGAAGTTATGGCACTGTTTCCACTTCGTTTGACATGACCAAACCACCTCAGACGGTGTTGCCAGCGTTCGTCCTTTATATCATCTAAACAGCACGACGAAGAATTTCGGTAGATTTGATGTGGTCCTTCAGACTAATTCGTTGCATCCATCGGAGTATTTTCATGTCGGTTCGTTGAAGTTGTTGTTCCAGTTTGGTTGTCATTGGCCATGTTTCTGCACCATATAACAACACCGGACGTATCACAGATTTAAAAAGTCTTGATCGTAGTGGTAGTGGGATGTCACGCCGCATCAATATAGAGGCAAGGAGATGCCATTCATTCCAGGCTGCACGTATGCGTGCTCGAACGGCAGCTTCAGCTGTTCCAGTACTATCCAGAACATCCCCTAGATATTGAAACGATGTGACTTTCTCAACCTTAATGGCTTCAAAAACAGTGCTATTTCGAATTTGTTGCTGTGGATTGATGCAAGCAGGACAACCAAAATTGGACACTTTAGATAAAGAACCAATTATTTTTGAACAACGTTTGTGACACCACTGGTTACACTGCTGACACTTGATTGAATTGTTACCTACACCAGCTTTACAAACTGAACAGGGCCATCGTCCAGTAGCTGTGGATTGAATGAGTTCACCAGTGTTCATTGCTTTGGTTTTGCTGATGTTGACTTTAAATCCAAGATCGGCGAGTCTGGTGTTCCAATCTTCAAACATCTGTGCTGCATTCTGCTCAGACGTGGCTGTTAAAACGATATCGTCAGCATATACTAGATTCCAAATGTCACTAGTGCGTATCGGTTTTGTGATTTTTTCCATCACAGTTATAAATAACAGTGGACTGAGAATCGAGCCTTGGTGAACTCCAACGCCGATGTCAAATGCATCTGTGTTTCCAACCGTTGTGCTGACAAGAGTCTTAGTATTCGTATACATTTCCATCCCAAGTCGAACAAGATATTCTGGAATGAGTTGTCGACGTAAACTCCACCTGATTGGTTCACGGGGAACTCGATCAAATGCTTTTTCAAGGTCTACAAAAATGTGTGATAGTTGTTGATGCTTTGCGAGGTACTTTTCTTGCAGTTACCAAAAAATGTGAATTGCATCAATTGTTGATTTCCCCGCTAGAAAACCAAATTGATAATTTCCGATTGTGATGCACGACGTTAATCTTCTCTTAATGATTTTCTCGACAATTTTCAGGGAGTGTTCTAACAGACGTATACCCGATATGACGAACAGTTCAATGGATCACCTTTGCCTTTGTATAGCGGGACTGTCATGCTATAGTTCCATTCAGTCGGCATTGAGCAATTTCTCCAAATTTCACGGCAAAGTTGTAGTAACGTTTGGATACCTGCAGTACCAGATGCTTTGATAATGTCATTTTTGAGTCCAAAGGACCCTGTTGCCTTTCTATCCTTCATAGCTTTCAGAGCTTCTGTAAGCTCCTCTACAGTGATGTCGGGATCAGACAAAACTTCTATTAAAACTTCTAAAACTTCTAAACCGTCCAAGGCAACAGGACCAGACAACCTGACAATATTTCACCTAAAACACCTCGGCCCAAAGGAAATTTCCTTCTTAACAAATATTTTTAACGAATCACTACGAACCTGTAGGATTCCTGAAATTTACAAGAAATCAAAAATCATTCCCCTACTAAAACCCGGCAAACCAGTTAACGACGCGAAATCATACCGTCCCATATCTCTTCTATGTCTGGCAGCTAAAGTATTTGAAAAATGCATTCTGCCGATCATCTCGAATCACCTAACCTTAGCGAGCCATCAGCATGGTTTTCGTCTACTTCATTCTACAACAACAGCTCTCACCACGATGGTCACCGACATCGCAAACGGCCTAAATCAGAAGAAGCCAGCTCACCGAACAATCTTAACAGCATTGGACCTCACAAAGACCTTCGATACCGTTAACCATCGCATCCTAATCTCCGACCTCATGTCATCATCGCTTCCACGGTCAATTGTCCGCTGGTTGTCAAACTATCTGCATGGACGCTCTGCATCAACAGAGTTCCGTCGACAACTTTCAAAACAACGCACCATCCGCTCAGGAGTGCCTCAAGGTTCTGTATTGACACCAACTCTGTTTAACTACTCCAAAATACCAAACCCTCCTCCAGACGTCAAAGTTATCTCTTATGCAGACGATTTTTCAATCTACACTACAGGTCCAAATGCAGATGATTTGACACTTCGGCTCAATTGATACCTTCCGAAGCTTTACGACTTCTTCAATAGCAGAAACTTGGAGATTTCCACCTCCAAGTCCACAGTCACCCTCTTCACCACTCACACTTCACAGTATCACTATCATCCAGCAATAAAAATAAATAACAATTTATTACCACTCGAACATAATCCAAAAATATTAGGCCTCACGTTAGACACGATGCTGTCCTTTTCACAACACCATAAAGAAACAGCATCCAAGGCCTCAATAAGAAATAATATTTTAAAGGCACTAAGTGGTACAACCTATGGCCAGGACAAGGAAACTCTTTTACAGACCTACAAAACCATCGGTCGTTCAACAATCAAGTATGCCTGTCCTGCCTGGGCATCACTGACATCAGACACAAGCTTCTCACGTCTTCAACGCTCCCAGAATGCCGCCCTACGTCTGATTACAGGTTGCCATTTGATCGCTTCAGAACGGCACCTTCATTCAGAATGTCAGATGTTAACGGTAAGGTAGCATTCGGAGCTAATAGCATCACAATTCCTACTCCTATGCCATAACCCTAGCCACCCGAGCCATCATATCATCACGCAACAACACCCACACCGCAACATAAAGACCACCCTCCTCTCCAAATGGGCTTCAACAACTCATGCGGTTCTACCAACAACCATAAATAGCGATTCTCTGAAGTCCGCTCTAAAAACACTTCACAATAACACCATCAAAGCCGCCACATAAACGTATCAGTCGCCGTTGTTGTTGCTTGACGGATGGCCTCCACCTACATCAAAAATAGATCCAACAGAAGAATCACTTCCCAGGGCAATACGACGGACCCTAGCCCAACTCCGTTCTGGCCATAGTACTCTTCTAAACAGCTACAAAAACAGAATCGGCAGTGGGCACCTCAACATCTGTCCTTTCTGCAACAATCATACAGATGGTGTACCGCATCTGTTTAGCTGTCCCCAAAACACCACAAAACTACAACCAATAAACCTCTGGAGAAACCCAATTGCAGTGGCGGTTTGGCTCCGGCCTCGATTGGAACCCTAGGGGTCCCCCAGAATGGGGCAACAACAACAACAACAATAATAATAATAATAATAGATTGAATTAATTTCTCGCCTCAAAATTTTGGTGCTGTTTTTGCGGCCTTGACAGCTATGGTTCAAATAATTTAAAAATTTTTAGTTTTTCGTTGTTAAAATTTTTTTACACCTCCTAACAAAAATTTCTGGCTGTGCCTATAAACTAATTGAGTTCAATACAAAACAAACTTGATCAATTTGATATTCAAAGTCTTCATAAATTCTTTTCTGATTAATTTTCACAAAATGTAATTCGCTTATTTTTAAACACAAGTCAATAATTTCCATGTTTGCCACTTTGTAGCTATCCAGTTGGGTTTGAACCTAAAATTCATAAAGAAATAGAATATTTTAATTAATGATTTCTCTTAATTTTAGTAATATTTTAACAAATTAGCTATCATGTTTTTTAATATTGATTGATTGAAATTGTATTTGTATTTAAAAATTCACTTTAGTTATGAACTTAGGATAATCATTGAGAAAATCAATTTATTTTAACACTTAGCAAGTTAATGAAACACTGAAAATAATGCAGTTATTGAAGCTTTAAAAGAGCATACAAAATTAACGCCATGATTTAAAAGCATGTTAGCTATAATTAAGCTACAGCACATCAACATATGATGAACACGTTACGTGCGAAATTAAGATTTCAACGCTACAGAATATAACAAGCACTTGCTTTAACCATTAAACCATCAAACTCAAACAATAAAAAACTTGGAAAAAATAAAAAACAAGAAACGTTGAAAAAATAAATTACATTCAATAACTAACTATATGATAAATAAAACTCTACAGATTAACTCACTCTACTGATGTTGACACGACACTCTTGCAAAAATTGTTCAGCAGTTTGGGCTTGGGACCATGTAATTTTAGTAAGGCCCGGAAGAATTTTTCTATCAAGAAACATTATTCGTTCTCTGAACAAACCTCGTTCTTCTGGTGAAAGTAAAGCTATAATTCTGAAAAAAAATAACAGTTTACAACACTGAAAGAGCCAATGATAAAAAATGGTGAATAATGAGAAAAAATTCAATAATATAAAACATAGTCAAACTAACATAAAAAAAAATAAACAAAGTAACGATTAAAATTACTACTGAAAGATTTTGTAGAATAACACTATTTTTTAAAAACTAAAAAAGTTTTCTACCAATTAAACTCCTATTTTATAAATTTTAAAACATTCCTTCTATTATAACACACTTAAAATCAATCAATCTTCGTTTTGCATCCAGAGACCCGGTTTCCCGAGGTAGGACGTTGTTTTCTTTGCCATCAACTTTTTGCGCCAAATTAGACGATCAGTTGTATCCATTTCATATAAATTTAGAGCTTTCATGTCTTGCTCGATTGTTTGCAACCAGGACTTTTTTGGACGGCCTTTGGGACGTGTGCCAGGTACTTCAACATCTGCATGAGAAGTTATGGCACTGTTTCCACTTCGTTTGACATGACCAAACCACCGCAGACGGTGTTGCCGGCATTCGTCCTTTATATCATCTAAACCAGCACGACGCAGGATTTCGGTAGATTTGATGTGGTCCTTCAGACTAATTCGTTGCATCCATCGGAGCATTTTCATGTCGGTTCGTTGAAGTTGTTGTTCTTGTTTGGTTGTCATTGGCCATGTTTCTGCACCATATAACAACACCGGACGTATCACAGATTTATAAAGTCTTGATCGTAGTGGTAGTGGGATGTCACGCCGCATCAATATAGAGGCAAGGAGATGCCATTTATTCTAGGTTGCACGTATGCGTAGTGCTATTTCGAATTTGTTGTTGTGGATTGATGCAAGCAGGACAAACAAAATTGGACACTTTAGATAAAGAACCAATTATTTTTGAACAACGTTTGTGACACCACTGGTTACACTGCTGACACTTGATTAAATTGTTACCTACACCAGATTTACAAACTGAACAGGACCATCGTCCAGTAGCTGTGGATTGGATGAGTTCACCAGTGTTCATTGCTTTGGTTTTGCTGATGTTGACTTTAAATCCAAGATCGGCGAGTCTGGTGTTCCAATCTTCAAACATCTGTGCTGCATTCTGCTCAGACGTGGCTGTTAAAACGATATCGTCAGCATATACTAGATTCCAAATGTCACCAGTGCGTATCGGTTTTGTGATTTCTTCCATCACAGTTATAAATAACAGTGGACTGAGAATCGAGCCTTGGTGAACTCCAACGCCGATGTCAAATGCATCTGTGTTTCCAACCGTTGTACTGACAAGAGTCTTAGTATTCGTATAAATTTCAATCACAAATCAAACAAGATGTTCTGGAATGAGTTGTCGACGTAGACTCCACCTGATTGCTTCGCGGGGAACTCGATCAAATGCTTTTTCAAGGTCTACAAAAATGTGTGATTGTTGTTGATGCTTTGCGAGGTACTTCTCTTGCAGTTGCCAAAGGATGTGAATTGCATCAATTGTTGATTTCCCCGCTAGAAAACCAAATTGATAATTTCCGATTGTGATGCACGACGTTAATCTTCTCTCAATGATTTTCTCTACAATTTTCAGGGAGAGTTCTAACAGACGTATACTCCGATGTGATGAACAGTTCAATAGATCACCTTTGCCTTTGTATAGAGGAACTGTCATGCTATATATCCATTCAGCCGCAATTTCTCCAGATTTAACGGCAAAGTTGTAGTAACGTTTGGATACCTGCAGTACCAGATGCTTTGATAATGTCATTTGTGAGTCCAAAGGGCCCTGTTGCCTTTCTATCCTTCATAGCTTTCAGAGCTTCTGTAAGCTCCTCTACAGTGATGTCTGGAATCGGACCTTCGATGGGTGGAGCGTCGAAGTTAACATTGATTGGATTTGTTTCGTTTAACAGACGGTTGAAGTATTTTCTCCACTGTAGCTTGATCTCATCTCGTTCAAGAACCATCTCATTTTTGTCATTTTTTATACATGAGGCACCAACTATATCTTGTTTCGTACGCTTTGCTTGTTTTGCTATACGATACAGAGATTTCATTTGTTCACCTTTGCTTTTAGTGAGCCACTCTCTGCACTGATCTGTCCAAGCCAGTGCGACTTGACGTCTTGCATAGTTGTTCTTCTCACGGAAAATTTTATGGTCATCAACAGACTTTGATTTTTGCCATTGCTTGTATGCAACTTTCTTTTCAGCTATTACATTTTGTACACTGTCATTCCACCACCAAGTGCCACGTTCATGCTGGCGTTTTGTACCAGTTTTCCCACAAACTGTATTTGCAGCGTTCATCAAAACGGTTTTGTATGTACTCCAATCTCTATTGGCTGTGTGGCGACAATCTGTTGAAATTTTTCTCGATGAATATTGCTTTTCAGCTTCCACGTTTTGATTCTCCGAGGCATTTGTTTAGACTTATGTTTTGACAGTTTGACAACCAGGTCTGCCACAAGGAGTCTATGTTGGGCGACACATTATTTGCCAGGTATAACTTTGACGTTTTGAATAGCCTTCGGTGTTGTTGCTTGACAGCGAAGAAATCAATTTGAGTGGCTGATGGTCCACTTTTGTATGTTATGAGATGTTCCAACCTCTTTCTAAAGTATGTGTTCAGTAAACAAAACCCGTGACTTTCAGCAAACTCAAGGATGCGGTTGCCATCTTCATTCCGTTCTCCATAGCCAAAACCGCCATGTACGTTGTCAAAACCATCTGTTTTCACTCCAACGTGGCTATTGAGATCGCCTCCAATGAGGATTGTTTCAGATTTTGGTATTGTTGAGATGGTGTCAGAGAACGCAGCTCAGAAGTCATTTTTCATCTCTTCTGATTCGACTGTCTGTGGTGCGTATGCAGAAAAAATAATCATTGTTTGCTTTTCTATGCGAAGCTTGATCCACATAAGACGTGAATTAATCCTTCTAATATCCAGTACTTCTTGGGCTAGCGGTTCTCTGACAAAAATTCCAACACCATTTTTGGCGTCTTTTGACCATTTCAGAATAGTTTATATTTTTCTTTGTCTGAGTTGACATGACAGACACCATTCGATTTCTATCGGGTTTCTTGAAGGCAGTAGATGTCAATCCTTCTACGCTCGACCATTTCTGCGATTTCTATGCTGCGGCCAGTCAGTGATCCAACATTGAGCGTTCCAAGTCTAAGTACCATAGAGGGGCCATTCTGAATTTTTCTGCAACATCCCTCCGCTATTGCATACTTCCCAGGGATTCTTGGCACCCCTTGACCACTTAAGGCCTGCTGGGGACTAGGGGCCATTGTTTTTCTTTGTGATGGCATAGGAATAATTTGGGGAAAAGTTTTTACATCCGGACACCCATCCTGACGACAACCAAGAGTTATAAGCAGTGGGCCTAGCCTTTCGCTCAAAAGCACGCAAGGCAGCGTGGATGCAGTTTTATGTCATACACAGGACATGATAAAACACTGTAAAACATTGTAAAAGTCTATAAAACACTGTAAAATTGAGTTTTACAGCTTCACAGGGTTTTACCCTAAACCTTGAGGGTTCTACCCTAACCCTTAGGGGCTTTACAGGGTTCATAGAATTGTACATTTTATAGAGTTTCATAGAGTTATATAGAGTTCTATAGGATTTATCGAGTTTGTTTGAGCGAGTTTCTTCGTCAGCAACTGTAAATATCAAACTTTTGATAAACAATGTCATATTCGACAACTATATTTCAAGCAGAGTGAGTTCTACAGAGTTGTATTGAGTATTATAAATTTTTATAGAGTTTAATATTTTTCAAACTTTCCAGAAACAACTTTATCTTCAACATTATCCAAAACACTTCAGAAACTAACATAATATAACACACATATAACAGAATATAACACACTTAAAAGAAAAAACAATTTTGGGTGACTCAGGAAGAGGTCTCAAAGTTGTGTAATACTGAGATTTTACAGTTGTTTCATTGTATTTTTTATTATTTCTTTTCATAAAAAATAATATTTTTTTACTTGCTAACGATTAAAGACACCTCAAACTTCAAGATTTCGGTTGTAAATAATCAAACATATGATACAAATTTATCAAAATTTTTTTAATTTATTCGTAAGAGCTATATATATATTATTATTATTATTAATTATTATTATTAATAAAAAATTTAATAAAGCGCTAATTCAAAGGATCTCAAAAGCGCTATAAAAAAAAATATCATGGCATAATCAACAAAAATAAGGTTTTATTTTTACGTTACATTTTAACGAAAAAATTATAAGAAAAATAACACAGTCTTCATTATTTCCTTAATCTAACATGGCACAATAAACAAAATAAATCACTCCGTTATAACTAAAACAAGTCAGTTCAATGAATTACGACGAAAATAAGTAAGTTCAATTTTCTTTTAAAATCAGGCAGGTTCAATTCCGGATCTCTTAGAAAGGCAGGCAAATTGTTTCAAACAGACGGTCCCAAGACGGTGATGTTACAAGACCCCATATAAAGACACGAAACTGGGACTGGCAGCAGGTTCAGATCATGAGACCTCAGATACGTTCCAGAAGGAGGTGCCAACTTCTTTGCAAACATTTCTGACAAATAAGATGGTGCAAGACGATTTATTGACTTGTAGACTAGAGTTGATATTTTGAAGATTATTCTTTTTTTTACGTTAGCCAGTGCAGTTGTTTCAGTATTGGTGATACATGATCATATTTTAAACCGCCGACAACAACCTTTGCAGCACGATTCTGCAATGCCTTTAATACAGCTAAATATTTATCAGGTAATTCGTAAAACAGACTATTAAAATAATCAATTCGTGAGTGCACGAAGGCATGAACCAGAGTCTGCAACGTAGTAGTGTCAAGAGATCTACGTATTTGATTGAGCTTTCTTATTTGGTACATGCATTCAACCGAAAGCATTCTAATGTGATTTTTCATTGACAAATTGGAATCTAGAATAAATTCCAAACTAGTAGCTTTTTGGCAAAACGGGATGACACTGTTTTTGATAATGATTGAA